ACTGGTTAACAAAGAATACAGTACTAAGTACTAGAACACTAAAGAGGCAATACACTGGCTTAAAATAAATAACTTTCATGATCAATGTTGATAACTTGATTTAGTTACATTTGCTAATCTAAATAAAAGAACACCTTTATACCTTTAGAAAATGCTTAATTTTTACAATTCCAATGACAAAGAAGTGTATGAATTAATCTGTTAAAGACATGAGTAATTTGATGAGATGTCAGAATATTAACTTGTATATTATAAACAACTTCCTACAAAAATAATCCCAATGTGAGCACAGTGAACCTAATAAAGACTTAACTAAGAAATACTCAGGCATACTGCCAACTTTGCAGTTGCATGACTATTCTAAGATCTAGGCCAACTACATATAGATACAGCACAAGGAAAAAGAAAGAGACAAAATGTTCCATGAAATTCACACATGTAAAGATTACATTTTCAATTTATATTCTATGAAAAAAAGTTATTAAAATATCTACTTTTTACTTGTGTTTATTATACATAGCATTTTTTTTTTTTTACTTACAAAAACATTTACAGCTGTTGAACAGATTACATAAAATTTATAAATAAAGGTTAATTAAAAAGTTAGTATAACTTTGGGTACATTTATTTGTAGTTTCTGTTGTTAAAACAATTTTATATAAAAAAAAGACAACATTTTTGTTGCAATTTCACACTGTTGATGAGTAAAATATTGAATAAGCATTTTTTATGAGGTTATCAAAATCTTATTTTAGCTTTCAAAAAAACCCAATAATAATGTACGAGTTAAACACATTTTAAACTCAAAATCCAGTTGGAATTTTAATAACGTGTGATACTACTTTCAAAAGCTTAGTTTAATCTTGACCAAATGTATATTGCACTGTGTATTTACCTAAATAAATTTAGAAAAACTTAAAATAATTGTGAAAAACAGTGTCCAATCATGTGAATAAATAATCTAAAACATCCTGCATGTATCACCTGAACAGAGGTTGTTGTTAACTGGAAAACAACATGGATTCACTGAAAGGAATTCTTGTCTTGCAAATATATTTTTTGAAAATGTTACTTATACTGTGGATAAAATAAAAGGATGTAGACTTGGCTTACTTAGATTTTCACACAAAAAGATTAGCTAAGATAATCATATTTGTAAGGATTAGAAAAAAAAAGTGCTCAGGGGTCAATGCTTAGGCCTCTGCTTTTTCTTATTTACATTAATAATATTGATAGGGGAATTAGTAACGTTTGCTGAAGACATTAAACTAAGATATTTCTGGCTGTATTAGGGGATTGATGTATTGAAAGAGTGACTTGGATCAGTTGATAAATTGGACAGATAGCTGGCAAACTACCTTTACCTGTAGTAAGTGTAAGGTAATGCATTTGAATAAGTTACTCAAGCCATTGAAGCAGTATTCTGTTGCTAGTAATAAAGCTCATAGAATTTTAACGTGTATTTACAGACATTGATTAAAGTTGGGTAATTAGTAGAATCTGATAATCAATTAATCAATGGCTCATTAATCAATTACATTCAACTAATTGTAGAGGCTTGTATAGTTTGAATAATCAAAAACAGTAATAATACGAAACATTAATTGTGATTAGTTGATTATTTTTGTGAGTTATAAAATTTATCAATTAAATTGAGTAACTCTGAATTAATCAAAAATCATGATAAGAAATCACAATGGCAATATTTCAACTACTTGAATAATTGGAATAATCAAAGTTAATCTCCCAACTGCAATATTAAATTACAAGCCTACAAAATAAATATATATCTATAAAATCACAAGAAACCCCCTACTTAGAATTCTGTGTATAGTTTTGATACACTTAGAAAGTATACTGACTTATTGGAAAGAGTTCAGAAGAGGGCTACTGGGATGATTCCTTTGATGAAAGACTTGTCTTAATATTTTCTCTTAAGAAAAGAAGGATAATAGATGTTCTTACCAAAGTTTACAAGATTATCCAGGGAGTAGCCAGGATAATGGCCTTTAATTTCTTTGGGCTGTACTATGAAGACAAGATGACAAAATTTGGAAAAGATAGGCTAGCTTCCTGTTAAGACAGTTTTAGTTTTCTAACAGATTTATTGACTTATCGAGTGAGCTTCCACTGACAATAGTGGAGACCAGCACTTTACAAATGTTTAAAAGATGAAATCAATTATATTTTGAAAAATAAAGTACATGTTTTCATTATTTTTCTTAATGTTGGATGTGCAAGAATAGCCTTGAATGATTAAATGGCTTCTTGTTATGTGAAGTTATTTTATGGAAAAGAAAAAGACCTCAAATATTCATAATTTTGAAATAATTATAACAATTATTTTCATAAATAAAAATGTTTTGCAAAATTTTCATAACATGTTAGTATTTTGCAATCATCTCACATAATTTTTGGTCAAACAGCTTTATTTCAGTTGGTTAGATAAATAGAAATACATGAAAGAATATTTCTTCCCTCCTTACTTTAACTAATAAAGTAAAATATTATTTATACATATATATCATTGAAAACAACCGTTGTCTTCCTTGATTTTTCATACAAACAATTTTCTTGGATACATAGTTAGTGATATAATTACAAAGTAATCAACTTAACATAATTTTCTGCATTAAATAAGCCTTTTAAATACAAAATTTGTCCTGAAAATCATTTATGGAGAGCATTGTAATTTAAATGATTTCTAGCATGTCACATTAACACTTGGCCTGCAGCTATTTGAAATTAAGGTAAATTAATTTTACTTTTGAAACTGATAATTCATGTTAACACAATAATTGACATGAAAGAGCAAAACAACACCGGCTATTCACCCTATCAAGATCACTCCTTACACACCAAGACCAACTAACCAAAATGTCCAAATTAAATTACAAACAGGCCTTCATATCCATTTACTTATCCCCTACAAGTTAAAATTTGAATTAAACTACATACACCAAACCATAATTTAACACACAAAAAGTACTTGGTCACAAAACAAATCTGAATTTGGGTTTCCAAATTTCTTCTTATACATTCATATTTCTAATTTTTCAACAGGCAAACAAACCAACAACAGAAACAATGCCCAGATTTCTAAACCACAACTAATTCTAGTATTTCTAATTTTCCACTTCTGGCCTAGTCACTTAAGACTGTTAAGATCCCTTGGTATAATAAATATTTATAACTGAATCAGTTCTTTCCAGTATATTAGCATCAATGCAAATATTGGAAAAGGAATTACTGTTCAAATTATGAACGATCAAAGTCCCAAAAGTTTTTAATTTTTTTAAAATTTTGATATACCTTATAATCTTCTAATTACTTAATATATTAAACAATTTTGAAGCTTGCATTTTGATTATTAGTTAATGAGTTAATTCCCCTACCTATCCATTAAGAAAACTGTCTTTGGTTGAAATGTAATTTAACAGCTTGACCACAAGATCGGACCTTTAAAATTTAGACATCTAATTATTCCCCAGGATTCAACAAACTGTTGAAATTTTCGAATAAATCAAATTTTACTGACTTTATGCAAGAAAATATGATATTCCTTCTACAATGTTCAAAAACTGTGTATAATAATAGTACTACATTTAGTGATTTACTGCATGCAAAATGTTTGAATGAAACACAACTTGAAAATTGTAAAAACTGTAGTACAGGAAATAATAGACATACCTCAGTACTGTAAGAAACAGTGGAATAAATATTTTATAATTACAGATGCAACAAATATTAATATATTTACTATTATTACTGTTGTAGTAATCATAATCTGCTAACATAAGAGTACATGCCCTTACTATTAGAAAAATCCATATACAGTAAATTTCAAGGAATTCATTAGACCATAAGACATATATACATACAGATATAATAACGGGTTAACCTTGCAGATAGTGTGGAGACTTGCATCTCCACTCTACTGTTCACCATGTTAATTTTTTGTCAATTTCCTATAGCAGCAAAATATCACTCCCTACATATTTGAAGACAAAATACTCCATATTTTACACATGTATGATTTAACTCAACACTTGCCATAAGGGTATCAGGTGTGTTTCTGTGAGAAAGTGTTTTAAATAAACTTACTTGGAATTAAATGTTCAATACCCAGACATTGCCATTACCACATGGCAAGCTCAGTTATAAAACCTTATAAAAATATTTCCTGCACCATGCTAGACACATACAGGAGTTTTTAAAACAATTTGGTATAAATGATTGGTCACTTGTCATTAGTTTTATGTATAATTGTGGGATTAATAAAAGTTAAAACCTTGTGATTTAATTGTTATACTAAAATGCTTCTTCTGACTACCCTAACTGCTGTACCATAAATACAAGTTTCCAGGCTTCATTAACATTTTCATTTTCAACATTAATAACTATCTTTGTGTCTCATATTTATTTCTTACTTTCTGGAAGAAAACTTTTTTTTAAACTGGAGATACACCTATTATTTTTTTGAGTATCATTTAACTCAACAAATGCTTTAAAAAAGAAACAGACCTAATAATCATGACTGATAATGTGTAATGATGTTGATAATGCAATACTATTTTACTACTTCTAGTATTAGAGGTATTCGTAATATTCAAGTATTACATATATAGTTATTAACTCGCATTAATAGTATTACTATTACTGAACTACTAGTGTTAGTACTAATTAATAATAATAATAGTATCAGATATACTGTATTAATGTAATAAGTTTTGTACTATAACTTACAATTATAACTTTAAACTTAAAAGTTAGTGATACTAAAACATAAGACGTTGAATATTATAATTTAAAAAGTTCGCAGTACTAGTATTACTCTAGCAGTATTACTATTAGTAGTAACCGAGCTTGCAGTAGCGTATACTCAATTTGTATGTCAAGAATAGTCGAGTGCTCTATCTCCTCCACAATTCAAATGAAATAAAATGCTTTGAGAATTAAATAAAGAGTTATAAAAATTCAAAAGAAAATAAATAACTCACACGTTCTTTAGCGCGCCCAGCATGTTTTTGAACTGCTTTCGTAAACGAACCTGCCCTATCAGCCATCTTACTCCGTCCTGCTGTTAGTTAGGCTTAGCCTTAGAGCTCTGTGTAGTCTACAATCTACATGAAATCAACCATTTGTTCAAATTAACTAATATTAATAACACAATCTCTAATTTCTTTATAACTACATATACTTTTCATTAACTTCAATATTAGAATGATATTTGAACAAAATAAAACTTAACATTGTTCTAACTATACGAACCTTATCTTCTCGCCATATCAATACAATATTGTACTATTTTCGAAGACAAACGTCTTATTTGCATGACGTCATCCAGACAATTTATATTTTAAAATCTTGAATTTGTATTCTTGCTAAAATAATGCTTTTAAACAAATCTGTTAATACATCAAACGAATTAGAGTTTATATGTATCAGTAATATTTTATACACTATTTCGAATTCAGTGTATTGCTATAAATACTTCTTCAACACATCAAAATGTTGCTTACGTATCATACGTACTTGAATATTATAGAAGTATTATTGTTTTGTTATGGATTTCGCGCTAAGTTACACGAGGGCTATCTGCGCTAGCCGTCCCTAAT